ACCGGCATTGGAGACTATTCCGGAGGAACATTGATTAACAAAAAAAAACAAAAGCAGAACTGTTGACTTGTAGTAATTAGTTTTGCCGTGATTAATGATATGTGCTGATTGTAAAAAAAAAAAGAAAAACATTTCGTTGTAATTTGTTGTTGTTTGAGTTGAGATTAATGCTGTTTTGAATGTTGTTTGATTGCTATTATATTGACATGATTATTAACTTTGTTTTTTTTAGGGGATTTAAAAAATACACGATTCAGTTGATCTGATCCGTTTATTCGTCGATCTAAACTTAAAAAAAGGTAATTCTCTAAAAAAAATTATTCGACCAGGCCGGTAATTCGACTTGTTATTTTTTGGGGTAATTAGGTCGGGTCTGGGCCAAAAAATTTTATAATCGCGTACCCGACCTGATAATATTAATATATATATATATATATATATATTTATTTATTTATTTTAAATTATATTTTTATTTTAGGTTCCTTAATATTTTTACCTTAAAATTAAATTTAAATCTCTAATTTTTCCTTAGATGTGTACTATGTACTTTTTAAGTTTTAAATTTTACAATTTTTTTTATTAATTTGCTATTAAAACAAATCACGACCGATATTAACAACTTTAGTTTTTTACTTTTGAAAATAAACTTTAATATATATCTTTAAAACTAACTTCAAATCACTAATTTATGTATTTACTATGTGATTTAAAAAAATTTAAAAATAAAAAAAATGAATTGGGTACCCGTGATCTGAAAATGCGGATTCTCAGATTTTACGAGTACCCGACTAACGGGCACCCGAATTTAACTGGTCGGGTCACAGACGACAAATATACTACCCAAAGAATCGCGTACCCGAAAATATGAGTACCCGATTTTGAACATCCCTGTAATGTTATTGATATAAATGGTCCAGATTATAGGATATTGTTTTATTGAGTCCTTTGGCTATTAGAAGTTATAAAATGGTGCCTCGACTATAGGGAGTTGCTTTGTTAAGTCACTCGACTATTAAAAGTTACAGAATAATCACTCGAATATTAAAAAATTAGCGGTTGTCTAAGTTGGACCTTAACATGCTCGCTGACATATAATAATCGTTTGAGATTATGAGGATCATATTTTATCATATCTTTGTCAGCATGTTAACGTACAACTTAATATGTCGTCAAATTTTTAACAGAAAAGAACGAGTTTAGAACATAATAAATAGTCGAGTGACCATTTTATAACTTTTAATAGTCAATAGACTAAACAAAACAACTTCCTATAGTCGGAATAGTTGAATGACCATTTTTATAACTTTTAATAATCAAATGACTTAATAAAGTAATATCCTATAGTCGATATACCATTTGTGTACTTTACCCTTGATATTAATATGGCATTTAATATCATATGATCATTAACATTGTTATTTATATTAATACTATACTCTATATCATACAATCATTAAAATTTTAAGATAACATTGTTATTATACTATGCTATATCATCTTTTCTATTAAATAAATGATAAATTATAATACTTGATGACTAAAATGGAAAAAATAATTTTATGTATAATTTAATCAGAAAAAAATTGAGTGACTAAAATAAAAATAAGAAAATAGGTGGTATACCAAAAAAGTAATTTAGTCTACAATTAATCTACTACCTGTGTAATTGACCCAAATTGTTCATATCCCAATCCAGAAGGGAGAGGAAGAGCAACATGGCTTTCAACCCAAATCGTTCGATTATTTATTTATTTATTGCTATAGTCTTTTTATTTTATCAGCCCATTTAATTAAAATTAAATTATTTGATAATAGCATAAATTACGCATTTAATACCTAAATTATCAGTTTTGATCTATTTTAAACCCTAATCTTTCAACAACAAAAAAATCAAAACCATACCTACCATTTAGTTTTTATTTCATTTTAATATCTGTTGTTGAAAACCTAATGGGTGATTTGCAATGTGGTATTTTTATGGGTAAATTACATCAATCATCACTCAACTATCTTCCTACTCCTATTTTGGTCACTAAAGTTTAATTTTTTAATTTAATTATTTAACTTTGAAATTACTCCTTATTTAATTACTCCATCCTTCAAATTTATTTTTTTTATTTTTAATTATATATTATTAAAATAATAAAAAACTTCATGTCGTAAAAATCATTAATAATATAGTGATTAAAATAGGAGCAATTTGAAAGTTGAGTAGTTAAATTAAAAAAATGTAAACTTTAGTACCAAAATAGGTGTGAGAAGATAGTTGAGGGATGAATTATGTAATTTTATCATAAAAATACATTGTAGTTAAGTTTTTAACGACGATGTACTAAAATGATACCAAAACTAAACGTTAGGTATGGTTTTGAGAAAATTGAAAGTTTAGGTGCTAAAACGAACCAAAACTTATAGTTTATGTACTAAATGCACAATTTACCCTTGATAATAAGGATTTTTTTTATTAATCTGGGGTAAGTACAAGGTAGTATTTGTTCAAAGATAACACTCTGTCGTTTGACATTGAACGCTAACATTCTTGATATTCCTGATGCTCGAACTTGGGACCTCAAACAATAACAACAATTCATTTATCATCGAGGCCGTTTGATTCGTGCCCTTGATAATAAGTTGTATAAAACACTTCAGGGCGTAAATGGAGTAGAATTGTATACTTCAAAATTCAAATTTTTTTATATTATTTGTTTTATTGAAGGTGATCATTCTGAATTTTTATTTGTATCTAATTATACAAACTATACAAAAAATTTGTTATTAATATATACGTATATTCTAAATAATATTTTTTGGATCTGTAAATAAAATAAATAAGAAAAAAAATAAAATTTATAAATTAAATTAAATTTTAAAGGGGTAGTACATTAAATATTTGTACTTAATTTAATGTTGTTATAAACATTTGTTTGATTGGTTGTTGAAACGTGATAATTTCAAGTTGGTTGGTACACCACCATTCCATCGATGGTAGGTCTTGATACTGAATTTTGAAAGAATCTAATTAATACTTCTTATAAAAATCAGAAGGATGAATTTATTATAAGAAAATATCGGAAGGTTCTAATCATTAATTTTAAAATATTTAAAGAAAAACAAAAAATAATGCCGTGAAGGATAAATAAAAATATTTAAAAAAAAAATTGAAAGAATAAAATTTTAAAATCTCAGACAACAAATATTTAATATAGTACCGAATTCTAGATATTATAAGAGATCTAGTGTCTTCAACTTGTTGGTTTCTTTGTACATAATTTTTTCATAACTACCGGTATCCGATCTATTGATCGACTAATCCAGATTAAGTACTGCAGAGGCAAGGGCAACTCTCCCAACCCAATTTGTTCCATTCGCAATCGACATGATTCGAACCTTAAACCTTACCTAAAAGATCTATTGCATCGTTCTATTAAACCAATTGGTTGATAGTTTCTTCTTGCATATTTTTTTTTATAACCAGCAGTATTCGATCTATTGATCAACTAATATAGATCGGGTACTGCAGAGGGAAATGCGACATTCTCAACCCAGTTTGCTCTATTCGCAATCACCAGGATTCGAACTCCTGACCTTGCTTAAAGGGATATAGTGTCTCACCCCACTATACCAACTGGTTGTTGGTTTATTCATACATAATTTTTTTTGTATAACCACCGGTATCTGATCTATTAATTGACTAATCCAGATCGGGAACTGCAGAGGCAAGGGCGACCCTCCCAACCCAATTTGCTCCATTCACAATCGTCAAGATTCGAATCCCTGACATTGTTTAAGGGATTTAGTGCCTTATCACACTAAACCAATTGGTTGTTGGTGGTTTCTTAGTATATAATTAATTAATCATAAATTCTATTCAATGTAGGGATGAACATAGGTTAGGTAAGGTGAAGTCAAATTTTCAGTTCATCCATTCCGACTCAAAAGTTATACATCACCCATCTAACCCTAAATATATACACATTCCACCCGATCCAAACCTGACCCGTTTTGGGATAAATCTGAACCCGACTGACCCAAAATAATATATTTATTAAAATTACTTTTATTTAATAAAAATAGAATTTAATTAAAAATAATATATATAGAGGTATTACTATAATTATCTAAAATATATAAGATAAAATTATAATTTTTTAAGTCATGTAAAATATATTTCATGTTAAACTGAACTCGACCCAACATGAAAATAACATCTAAAAAATCTAACCCCAACTGAATCTATTTTTTTTATATAGAAAATCGACTAGATCGGTTGGGATAGAATCAAAATCCGTAGGGGGTGGGTCATCCCTAATTCAATGCTCAAGCTGTAGCTTTTACTCGGTGACAATGATTTTTGCGGTGCATTTTCATGCAGTTTCCCTCTTTAAATGCAGTTGGTTAACCATCTCGATTATTAAAATTTATAAAATAATCATTTGATTATATAGTATTATATTATTGAGTATCTTTAATATTAAAAATTATAAATAATCACCGGACTATTTATTATATTTCAAAATCATCATTTTTCATTAAAAATGGATGATATTTTGATCTGAACGTTAACATGTCGACTTTGATATGATAAAATATGATAAAGATCTAAAATAATTGACATATCTCAGTCATCGTCTTAACGTACCTAACTTAAAGAATTGCTAATTTTTTAACAGAAAAAGGATGAGCTTAGAACATAATGTATAGTCGGGTGACTATTTTGTAACTTTTAATAATCAAAGGACTTAACAAAGCAACATTCGATAGTCAAATGACCATTTTGTAACTTTTAATAGTTGAGAGATTTAATAAAATAATATCCTATAGCTGAAAGACCATCTGTGTACTTTACCCATTAATTTAATAAATTTTAACCGTTCAAAACATAGTTTAGGGTAAAAAGTAAAGAAATGCATTAAGCCAAATCCACACACACGCACACTATATAACTATTGTTAAGTCCCTCCCATGAAAACTCACCCACTTTGAAATTATAAGTTCACCGCCTTGGAGCTCTAAAAATGGAGTCATCCTCCCCCGAACACACCACCCAACAGCCGCTGTTACAGCCGCAGCATTCGAACACGAATCTCGAAACAACCTCTGATCTCGAGAACACGTTGTCGGACGACAACCTTACCTGGTTCGGTCGTATAAGCAAAGCAACATGGATCGAGTCCAAGCTCCTCTTCTGCTTAGCCGCACCCGCCGTCATGGTTTACATGATCAATGCCTTCATGTCATTGTCCACTCAAATATTCTCCGGTCACCTTGGCAACCTCGAACTCGCCGCCGCCTCCCTCGGAAACACCGGCATCCAAGTCTTCGCTTACGGTCTAATGGTAATATCATCTTAACTTCAAACAACACTTGTGTACTCCCTCTAATATTTTTTTTACATAATGCTAAAGCCTAAAATAAATATCTTAAATTTGAATAAATAATCATTTTGAATATTTTTTTAAAGTATTTTGTTTTAGTTCATATTTAGTCAAAAGTTTTTTTAGGATAAATTATTCGCTTAATATTTAAACTATCAGTTTTAGTACCTAAACTTTAATTTTCAAAATCATACCTAAAGTTTAGTTTTTGTTTCATTTCAACACTCGTCGTTAAAAACTTCACTTTTTGTTTCATTTGAATACCCCGTTCAAAATTTAACATTAAGTTTTGAAAAAAATTAAAAGTTTATGTACTAAAACGGATCAAAACTACTAGTTTAGTTATTAAATGTGTTAAGTTTTTAACGACGACTACTAAAATGAAATGAAAACTAAGCGTTATTTATGGTCTTGAAAAATAAAAAATTTAGCTACTAAAACGAACCAAAACTAATAGTTTATGTACTAAACGTGTTAAGTTTTTAACGAATGATACTAAAATGAAATGGAAACTAAGCTTTATGTATGGTTTTGAAAAAATTAAAAGATTAGCTACTAAAACGAACCAAAACTAATAGTTTAGATACTAATATATAGTTTACTTTTTTTAAAAAAATCGTTAATAAGTAAATTCTTAAAAAATAAGGTCATTTTGCCTTGGAACAAAACAATAGGCAAAAAACACTCTAGAATTAAAAAAATAAATGTAGGTGATTATTTAATTAAGGGTAAAGCACACAAATGATACTTGACTACAAGGTATTGTTTTATTAAGCCCTTATGACTATTAAAAGTTACAAAATGGTCTTCCAACTATAGAATGTTATTTGTTGAGTCTCTCGACTATTAAAATTTATAAATGGTCACACAACTATTCATTATGTTCCAAACTCGTCATTTTCCGTTAAAAAATTGACAGTATTCTGATAAAATTTGATTCTATAAGCTCAAAGATTATCATATTGAATATGATATGATAAAATTAACATGTTGACTATGATATGATAAAATATGATTCTATAAGCTCAAAGATTATCATATTTCAGTCATCATGTTAACGTCCAACTTAGACAAACACTAATTTTTTAACGAAAAATGACAAGTTTGGAACATAATAAATAATCGAGTGATCATTTTATAAATTTTAATAGTCAAGGAACATAACAAAGTAACATTCTATAATTGGATAACTATTTTGTAACTTTCAATAGTCGAGAGACTTAATAAAGCAGTATCATATAATTAAGGGACCATTTGTGTATTTTACCCTTTAATTAAATGTTACGATCATTTTAATCTTAAAGTAAAAATTTACAAATTAAAATAATCTAAAAAAGTAATAACCAAAATTTAATTATTTAGTAAAAAAAGGTATTTTTTTACATTATATTTTCCTTTTTTTTTCCTTAGTTGGGAATGGGAAGTGCCGTTGAAACCCTATGCGGCCAAGCCTTCGGTGCACAGAAATACGATATGCTCGGTGTATACCTTCAAAGATCAGCCGTTCTCCTCACATTAACCGGCTTTCTTCTCACACTAATCTACTTTTTCTCTAAACCGATCTTGTTAATCCTCGGTGAATCCGAGGAAATCGCTACGGCGGCCGCCGTGTTCGTGTACGGTTTGATCCCGCAAATCTTCGCCTACGCCGTGAATTTTCCGATTCAGAAGTTTCTTCAGGCCCAAAGCATAGTTGCACCGAGTGCTTACATATCGGCGGCCACATTGGTCGTCCATTTGGTGCTGAGTTGGGTGGCGGTGTATAAGATCGGACTGGGTTTGTTGGGTGCTTCGTTGGTGTTGAGCTTGTCGTGGTGGATCGCGGTGGTTGCTCAATTTGTGTATATAGTTAAAAGTGAAAAGTGCAGGCTAACGTGGAGTGGTTTCAGTTTACAAGCTTTTAAAGGGTTGCCGGAGTTCTTCAAGTTGTCGGCGGCGTCGGCGGTGATGTTGTGCTTGGAAACTTGGTATTTTCAGATTTTGGTTTTGCTTGCGGGACTGCTTGACAACCCCGAGTTGGCCTTGGATTCACTCTCCATTTGGTTAGTAAACTAAACATCTTTATGATTGATTGAGATATTTTATCATTTTTAGTTCATTTAGTACTTAAAGTTTTAATTTCTTTAAAATTATATTTAATATTTAGTTTTTGTTTCATTTTAGTACCTTATTGTTAAAAACTTAACCTGTTTAATATCTAAAATATAAATTTTGGTCTGTTTTAGTACCAAAACTTTCAATTATTTTCAAAACTTAATGTTAAATTTTGAACAGAGTTACTAAAATGAATAAAAACTAAACTTTAGGTATGATTTTGAATTAAAAGTTTAGGTACTAAAACGGAGCAAAATTGATAGTTTAGGTACTAAACGCATAATTTATTCTAAAATAAAACATTTAATTTATTAAATATTTTAGGGTAAACTATGCATTTAATATCTAAACTATCATTTTTGGTACCTAAACTTTCAATTTTTTCAAAACCATACTTAATTTTAGTTTTTGTTTTATTTTAGTACCCCACTGTTAAAAACTTAACACATTTAGTACCTAAATTATCAATTTTGATCCGTTTTAATATCTAAACTTTTAATTTTTTCATCACTTAACATTAAATTTTAAACAAGGGTACTAAAATGAAACTAAAACTAAAATTTAGGTATGATTTTTGAAAAAAAATTAAAAGTTTAGATATTAAAAGAAATCAAAACTAATAGATTAGTTACTAATGTGTAATTTACCCAATATTTTATGAATTTATTATAATCAATTTATTGTGTAATTGTTGATGAAATATTAAAACTATATGACTTTTTTTTTAGTATCTTTCCTTAAAGGAATGTGTTGGGGTAGTTTGCCTTTTTGTTTTGCATGGGAAAAAGACGTAAATAATTGAATACGATGAATAGCGATAGGGCCCTTTGCCCTAAAAAGATACTATTGGGTCCAATTATCTTTAGATCCTCTTATTCTTAAATTAAAAAAGAATATATTTTTGTATATTTTTGTTTATTTGGAATAACATAAGTAAAATATAGGGTAAAGTACACAAATGATCCTCCAATTATAGGGTATTACTTTATTAAGTCCACTGATTCTTACAAGTTACAAAAGGTTCCCGATTATAGGATGTTATTTTTTTGAGCCCCATGCTATTAAAATTTACAAAATGGTCACCCGACTATTCATTGGGTTTCAAACTTGTCCTTTTCCTTTAAAAAATTGATGATAGTTTGAGCTAGACATTAACATGCTGACTGGAATGTCATAGTCGTTTGAGATTCTGAGATTAAATTATATCATATCCCAGCTACCAAGTTAACGTCTAATTCAAATTGTCATCAAATTTTTAACAGAAAATATGAGTTTGGAACACAATGAATGGTTAGGTGACTATTTTGAAATTTTTAATAGTTGAGGAACTAAAAAAGCAACATCTTATAATTGAGGAACCATTTTATATTTATAATAGTCGAGGGATTTAATAAAATAATATCTTATAGTTTGAAGACCGTTGTGTACTTTACCCTTAAATTTAATATATAAAGTGTGGGGTATAGTTTTATTTTGCATGGAAAAGGGTGTGAAAAATTGAATGTGACAAAGACGTGGTCTCTACTTCTATTTTTATTTGGCAGCATGGCTATAGCTGGTTGGGTCTTTATGATTTCAGTTGGTTTCAATGCTGCCGCAAGGTTAGTCTTCTTTTTTCCTTCTGCAATTGGGGTGTGTGTATATATATAGTGGCTCGAATTTTCTTTGATTAATTATTTATTTTATTGATGGTGCATATCTTGAAATTTTTCGTGCCCACTCTGAGATATGAGTTTTATTCGATTAATTACTTATTTTACAGAGGGTAGCCACCTTGAAATTTTATTTGTATCCACAAATTTAAAAATTTTATGTTGTTAACATATGTGTTCCGATCCTGAAAAATACTTTTAGATCCGCCACTATGGATGTACGAATACGATAATGTATTGAATAACATACAACCACCAATATATAATATAATATAATATAGCATATAAAAGAGATATATTTGTGGTTATTATCACTTATTATAGTTAAAAAATGAGTTAATAGCATCATATGTTCTCAAAGTATGACCCTCATTTTAAATTGGTTACTAAACTTGTAAACGCTCCAATTTCATCTCTAAATTATGATTGTCATTCTAAACTAGTCCTCAAACTTTTGAACATTTCAATTTCATCCCAAACTATGACCTTCATTCTAAATCAGTCCCAAAACACTCTGAACATTCCAATTTCACCCCAAACTATATGTATATACTAATCATATTTCTTGTTAATGAAATCGTTAGGCCAAGTTTTATCATTATATGTTTGAGAAAAACAAAATTTAGGTTAAATTGTGGTTGAAACTAATTACATATTTAAATGAATTTGGGGATAAAATTAGAATATTTAAAAGTTTAGGGACTAATTTAGAAAGAGGGTCATAATTTAGGGATGGAATTAGAATGTTCAAAAGTTTAAGGACTGGTTTAGAATGAGAGTTAAGGTTTAGGGATGAAATTGGAATATTCAAAAGTTTAAGCATCAATTTAAAATGATGGTTATAGTTTAGAGCCATACAATACAATTAACTCTTAAAAAATTAATGTGGTAGGTTAAAAATTTTATTTTTTTAAATTAGTCTCGACAAGCTTTTTAGAGGGTGAAGTGATAATCAATTAGTTTTAACATTGGGAAGCTTCCATTTGACTAAAAAATATTAACATAGTTCAGTTTTAAATTGATCCAACGACGAATAATGTGTCACATTAATTTTTCTTGACGATAACTAATAATAATAATAATAATAATAATATAAATATTTAAAAAAATCAACGATTAAAGTAAAAATACCATATAAATTATAGATTTGGTTAGTCGAGAGAAAAGATCAGAGAACTGAATGAATGAAATGTGGAAATGATGAGTAGTGTGAGGGTCGGGAACGAGCTGGGAGCGGGGCATGCAAAATCGGCTGCGTTTTCGGTGGTGCTAGTGACGGCTACATCTCTTATATTATCGGTGGCGGCGGCCATAATAGTAATGTATCTCCGTCACGTCATTAGTTATGTGTTCACCGATGGCGAAGTGGTAGCGGAGGCAGTTTCCGATCTCTGTCCACTTCTTGCAGTCACCCTTATCCTCAACGGAATTCAGCCTGTTTTATCGGGTAATAACATAGTTGATTTTCGTAATTTTTCTCTTACAAAATATCATTATCCATTTCGATAAAAATTCAACATTTTTGGGTTAAGTACACAAATAGTCCCCTAACTATGGTGTATTGTTTTATTAAGTCTCTCAACTATTACAAGTTACAAAATGGTCCTTTGACTATTAAAAGTTATAAAACGGTCACTCGACTATTCATTATGTTACAAACTCGTCATTTTACATTAAAAAATTTGGCGGTTGTCTAAGCTGGACGTTAACATGATAATTAAGATATGAAGTCGTTTGAGATTTTGGGATTAGATTTTAATATAACACAGTCAGTAGGTCAATGTTCAGCTAAGAATGCAGTCAATTTTTAAGGAAAAATGATGATTTTGGAACACAATAAATAGTCGGAAGACCATTTTATAACTTTTAATAGTTGAAAGACTTAATAAAGCAGTACTTTTTGTCGGGAGACCATTTGTGTACTTAACCCTATTTTTTTAAAAAAGTTTTTTATTTTGAATTTGAATTTGAAGGTGTGGCTGTTGGTTGTGGATGGCAAGGTTTCGTTGCGTACGTCAACGTTGGCTGCTATTACGGAGTTGGGATTCCCCTTGGATCTCTTCTTGGCTTTTACTTTAAGCTTGGCGCCAAGGTATTGTTCTTCTGTGGGGAAATTATACTTTTGATCCTTCTATTATGATTTTATTTTTTTATTGATTTTCGGGCTGACTTGGGTTTCGATTGTGATCCACAAGGGTATATGGTCAGGTATGATGGGTGGCACGGCCATGCAAACCCTAATATTGATCTGGGTCACATTTAGAACAGATTGGGAAAAGGAGGTAAGATTTTCCGGGGAAACAAACACAACTTATTGCTATTTCTTTAACCGTCATATGTCCCAGCTGAAAACAAGTCTCCCCCGCCCATCTTGTTCAATGGCAGGTTGAAGAAGCTAGAAAAAGACTGGATAAATGGGAAGATAAGAAAGAACCTGTTTTGCATTAGAAAGTCTGATCTAACTCAGATTGAGAATCTGGACCGAAGGAGTGCTAGGAGAGACGATCGCTCTCTAAAAATTTGCATGATTTAGATATCTTATTTATATTTATTGCCAATTAAAGATCTAATTCCGCGTTCTTACGTTCGTATAAGATTTTCATTTAGATACAATGCTTAAAAGACTTTCTGAGTACATCTTCCATCACATAGATTGAAGATGAAGATCGATGAATGTAACATTTTCCGTTGCCAATGAAAATATTACGAAAATGTAGCATTTTCGGTTCAACAAAAATGTAAGGAAAAAAATTAACATTTTAGGTTAACCCCACAAAAATGCTATATATTTTATAACATTTTCAATTGCGTTTATTTTCTTCTGTTTCTTAACCTTAAATTAGATCGGAATGGGCTTTCATGGGCTCGACAATATTTCAGGGTTATTTAACAAATTAATGTATTAGATTAAATACTTAAAACAAATATAAATATCACTATAAAAAATATAAGATTATGTAAAATAAATTGTACGTCGCTCCTGTAAAAGAAATCTTTTTTTTAATACAATGCATAAATACAAAGACTTTTTTACCCATATATTGAAATATGTATATATATATATATATATATATATATCCATTGAATCCACGTCTTTTAAAATATTAATATTATAATTAAACTAATCAAATTAAGATTTAATTCACAATAAAAATACAATTTTCTTTTGGTGTGAATGACTAATGCCTTCCTTTTTTAGATCGAATTGGATGCCAAAAAATCACTTTAATGCTAAGCATCAAATTCAAAAGCATGCAAAACCCTAGCTTTTCTCATAACTTTCATACTGTGTTGAATTACTCAATTGCCAGCTCAATTACCTAGCACCAATAACTGCACACCCACGTGATACATTCTTTAGTTCTAATATACTGAAAAGAAATGTTGGCCAATACGAAAAAGGTCATATATAGTGAGTCTAATTAATATAATTTTTTTTGGTACAATAAAGTTTAGGTCACGAGTGGCTCCCCAATCTAGGATCGGGGCATACCTAAGACCCATTTAGGATTGTAAAGGAATTTACAGATTGCCCACCAAGAGTGACGGTGGTAGGATTCAAACTTAGCCTTACAAGCTTAAATCCTTGAATCCCAACCATTTGTGCCAACACCCGTTGGCCTCATTAGTATAATTTAATAAACAAATATACAATGATATCATTCATTTATTTGCAAAAGAATTCATTAGCATAAATTTGTAGTTGAAAAATATAGGGTAAACTATACGCATTTAATACCTAAATTATCATTTTTGGTCTGTTTTAGTACTTAAACTTCTAATTTTTTTAAACCTCACCTAATGTTTAGTTTTCATTTCATTTTAGTATTCATTGTTAAAAATTAACACGTTTGGTACCTAAACTACCAGTTTTAGTCCATTTTAGTACCTAAACTTCATATTTTTTCAAAACTTGATGTTAAATTTTGACAGGGGTACTATAATGAAATAAAAACTAAAGTTTTTATCGGTTGGTACTAAATGAAACATAAATCAAACTTTAGGTATGATTTAAAAAAATTAAAAGTTTAGATATTAAAATAGACTAAAATTGATAAATTAAGTATTAAACATATAATTTACCCAAAATATATTTGAAAAAACAGATGATTCTTTTTAAAAAGCGTTTTCTCTGAAAGGCAGCGTTTCTTCTCAACCGAAAAGAAGGCTTTGAAGAAGCTCTCAAAAGATAAAGAAAATAGTGAGAAAAATAGAAAATAATATTCGAAGCTGATGGTTCTTATAAATGAAATAAATTTAAAATTTCATATATCGCTCAATTTGAAATTTTAATAAAATTTATATTAAGTATATTAAAATTAAATATCCTTGTTGATGTATACAATGTAAAGTGATAGTTTAGACAGTTGGAAAGAAAGTGATTTGTGATTAATCTATTTTAATTGTGATGAAATGTCAATGATCCATTATGTTTTAATCTTTTTTTATAGTGTACCTTTTTATTAGTTTACGAGTAAATATAACGTAGTATTTGTTTAAATACTTTCGATCATTCGATTGAATGTTTATAGATATGCATATGTCATACGTAGTTCTTGAAGCCGAAATCTTAAAAAAATAGCAGCAATCTCTTAACTACCGAGATTGTTCGATTCGTGCACTGAATTATATGACTGTTTTTAATAGGAAACACAAAAGGAAAGAACTTATTCAAGAGAAGTGTACTACAAGCAATGAACTCAAGACCTTATTTTATACAGCAGTTGATGGGCTGCTAGCACATAACGAACTATCAGAAACTACAGACAACCTAACTGTTAACTGTTACTCCTTCAGCTATACGTCACCTGGCATAGGCTCATTATATCCAATATTCCCTCTGCTTCTTCTTCTATTTGTTTCTTCTATTGATAGCACACCTAGCTTGCGACGGAACTCTTGGACATAGGATTTGGACAAAGGCATGGTCAATCGATCCTTCAGTTGTTTGATTCTCAACCGGTACATAATTCACCAGCAGTTTATTAGTCGACGCCTTTTCCCTGTGTCATCACTCATTTTATCCGGGTGGTGACACACACGTTGATAATAAATAATGTGGGCATAGTACATATAATGTATCATATAGTTTCATTTGTGCATGAGGTAGTTTGCATATTATATAGTTGCATGTATTAGGTATTATAGTGTATTAAATAATAATAACGTGTTATTAATTCATTTGGCATTGCATGTTATTAATTCATGTTGCATTGCATACTAATTCATGTTACATTAGGTGCCAAATAATTTAGTGTGTCACATTGCATACTATATTATTTATAAATAATAATCCATGTTAGGTTAATATTAGTGTTAGCCCATTTGTTTTGTTATAAATGAATAAATAGTAAAAACCCAAATAAGGAGTTCATTTGCATTTAGAAAAAGTCCATTACATAGGTTTCTTAGGCCCATACAGTTAGCCCACTTTTTATTACAAATATATGCATTATAAATAAATAATAAAAAAACAAAAATGCCGTTCTTTTTCTTGATTGCCGTCGGTTTTCTTTGGTGTAGGTGGGAGGTTTTGACTTTAAAATTCAAATGAAGACCCTTGGATGGAAACTTGATCCAATGACTCACACAAAGCCACGTCATCAATCCATGGCTAAGAAACACAAAGCTATCTAAGCCATTGGATCAAAAGATAGATTCAATGGCCAAGATTGTGTCTTCTCCAAGGCATCACCAACGTCACTGTCGGCCGGAGAGCTTGCCATGGATACCCACTTATTGGTATCGATACCCCCTGTCTGATATAGCTGGTTGAATAAGGAAGTATCGATACTCTAGGTTGAGTATCGATACTTTGGTACTGGGGTATCGATACTTGATTGAGTATCATTACTAAATGAGGTTCGATGTTTCAAAAATTAGCCTAGTATCGATACCCCTATAGGGAGCATCGATACTCTTTCCCTGATATCGATACTCAACGAATGAGTATCAATACTAGGCTTATAAATCTACTTATTTTGTGTCTGATTGAAGAACAATATCGATATTGTTCATACAATACAGATACCCTCGCTGCTGGGTGCTCTATTTTGGGAATGAAAATCATATATTTTCATCCCCAGATACTCCATTAAGGTCCCTAATTGATATTTAGGTGTTTTATTTGTTAATTAGAGTCATAAAGAGGTCTTTAACATACTGAAAACACATAAGTGATGCAATACACCATGAACATGCCCAAGCTTATGCGATATACCATTTCCATCTAAATGAGCTACATATGGTGTAGATGAGTCAAGAGTGAGCTACCTGATGGTTCTAAGCGGCTAGAAATGTTAAAAGCTCAAACTCAAGATAAGCTTTTCCTCCCCTAGCTTTGGAGCCTTCTCCAACCTCTTGCACTAAACAAAACCAATTGCAAGGATTACTAACTGAATTTAATGTTTTAAGAGACCCTAAGGACTCTTCTAAGCCTAAAAATAATTGAAAACGAGTTGAAACTTCGAAATCCCTTAAACTCCCATATAACTCATTCTTGAGAACCATGGTAAAAGATGAAGTTGAGGGCTTAATCTAAAGCTTTGAAGATGTTGAGTTAAACCTTACCTTGGCTTGCTAAAAAGTGCTGGAACTAAGTTAAAGTTTTCTAAGGAAGAAGAAGATGAATGGGAAGAGAAGAAGACAAGGAAGTGTAGAGGAAAAGATGAAGGGGACTAGGGTGTAAACGAGTCGAGTTGAGCTCGAGTAGTGCTGAGCTCGACTCGACTCGAAAACTCTAAAATGAAGCTCGACTCGACTCGAAAACTCGCGAGCTTAAATTTTTCAAGCTCGACTCGAACTCGAAATCTTGAACTGAAGCTCGTAAGCAGTTCGAAAAGGCTCGAAATGAAAAAATTCTTAAACTTAACTCGATTGAAGCCTCAAACTCGAACCTGAACCTTAAATACATAAAATCTTATTGTATTTTTTAAAAAAAAATCAATACATAAATGTTAATATTATTAATAATTTATTTTTTAAAAAATAAAATCTTAATATATTATGTTTTCGAGCTGCTCACGAGCTTTTCAAGTCGAATATCAAGTAGCTCGTCTCGTTAAGAACTCGAGTCGAGCTCAAGCTTGAGCCGAGTCCATTCGATTCGAGTATTTATCGAGTCTTGATCGAGTCGATCTCGAGTAGCTCGTGATCTGTCTCGTCTCATTTACAGTCCTAAAAATGACAACTTGAGATCACTCACAATTAAAGGTTTTCAGCTTTTGAAATTCTAAATGGTGAAATCGCTTCCTTGGTCCCTCTAATTCTGGATACAAACTGAAAATATCCTTTTAATTCCTTATTGGGCTTGAAGCCCAATTTTTCTTATACTTGGGTCAAGCCTTCTTACAAGCTAAGGAATTAACCCAAGGTCCATCTGGGTTAGCCCAAATCTCCTAACCCGGGATCCGGAGAGTTACAGCGAGAACAGTGTCTCGTGCTACGAAAACTTCATAATCTTCATTCAAGATCCGATTCCCTTGCTCATCGCAAATCATTTCTTGAGGCGGTTAAACTTGTCCAGTA